TCTGTCTCCAGTGGCTGCTCCATGGTTTCTCTCTGACTCCTTTCTCCCAGTATTCAGTTTAGTTTTTCCCCACCTAGCTCTACTCTATCCTATCAGGCCAAGCCAATTTCTTTATTAACCAATGATATTCACAGAATACAGAAAGGAATCTCACGTCATTGGCATGAATTTTGGAATACTGATACAAATTCAAAGTCAATTTTGTTACACTGTATATATATTTCTACTCTTGTTTAAAGAATTTTTGTATATTGATAAAAATTTAAGGTTATTTTTGTTACAACATCACATATAAATACAGACTAAAGACTAAATAGACAAAGTTTTCCATAGTTATGATAAAAATGTAAATTAGATATGAAACTTTAGACTCACAAAGGTAAGATAGACAATAGGATAGTTACTAGATACTGTAATTCTTATTTGATACCTGTTTTGTTGTATAATTTTACTATGTTAAAGTTAAACCTTAATTTTTTTATTGAGACAAAAAGGGAGAAATGTTGTGGAATAATCCTTCTGTATGCTGTGTAAATTATGTTGTGTTTGGCTTAATAAAGAAGCTGACTGGCCAATTGCTAGACAGGATAAGGTTAGGTGGGGAAACCAGATAAGGGCACTGGGAAAAAGAAGGTCAGAGTCAGACAAGCTGCCATTGAGGTGTGGATAGGAAACAGGAGGTTCAAGATGAAAGAGAGGTAATGCCACATGGCAAAATGTAGTTTAATATAAATTTGTTTATTTAAGTTGTAAGACTTAGTAATAAGCCTAAGCTATTGACCAAGAATTTATAATTAATATTGAGTCTCCATGTTGGTTATTTGGGAACTGGTAGGTGGGAAAGAAAAGTCTATCTACAATACTCAGGAGGCAGAGGCAGCTAGATCTCTGTAAGCATAGTGTAGTGATTTAAATGAGAATAATTTTCATAGAATCATGTATTTGAATAGTCATCAGCTGGTAGAACTGTTTGGGAAAGATTGCAGATCAGGATGTAAGCTCTTAATCACTGCTCCAGTGCCATGCCTACCTACCTGCTTCCATGCTCCCTTGTCATGGTATCATAGACTCTAAGCCTCCAGAACTGTGAATCCCATTTTTTTTTTTTTGAGACAAGCTTTCTCTGTGGCTTTGGAGCCTGTCCTGGAACTAGCTCTTGTAGACCAGGCTGGCCTTGAACTCACAGAGATCTGCCTGCCTCTGTCTCCCGAGTACTGGGATTAAAGGCTTGTGCCACCACCACCCAGCTGAATCCCCAAATTAAATGTTTCTTTTATAAGATGCCTTGGTCATAGGGTTTTGTCATGGTAATAGAAAAGTGGTATGCTGGAAGTACATATATGGAAAGCAGTTATGATATTCAGCAATAAACCTGATATCAATGCAGTCTTCAGGGAAAGAGTTACCATTAGTGACAAGGAAGGTCATTCAGAAAAGGTCACATCAAGAGGATACAATAATAGGAAGGAGGGGTTTTAGCAGCCAAGCTTCAGAAGAATAAGGCAACACAGGACAGAAATAATGGTCAAATGATTTCAACACTCCTCTCAACCATCAGTAGAGCAAGTGGAGAGAAAACCATCCAGGACATACAAAAGAAATGTACAATCACCATCAGCTAACAAGAAAGCACTAACATGTACAAAACCCTTACCCAACAACACCAGAGCATACCCTCTCCAACAAGTGTACTCAGGACAGTTACAGAATGGGCCATTCTTTGAACTATAAAACAAGTATTGACAAATTTAGAAGGACTAGAATCATGTTATCTGGCACAGTGGTCTTATATTACTAGAAATCAGTAACAGAAAGCTAGCAGGAAAACCTTCAAACATTTGGAAATTAAAGATGCCAATTTAGCGTATATGCCCCCAAAAGCCAAAAACAAATAAATGGTGCCCTAATTCTGCTGACGCTGAGAAATACACAAATTTCTACTATGTTGTGGTATGCTAATAGAGCACACTATAACAAACACATTCACACATGCTGACAAATGTGTAACAAATGATTCACAGCATCAGCCTCACTGCAGATCAAGGCTCCTTCAGGGACTGTTCAGATGCAAATGGTGACCTAAGAAGACCACAGACTCTCACAGGTCACAAGCCTCTCGTACTCAAGCATGATTTGAGTGGTCTCTTCCACACTCTACCCTGTGGCTGATGATGGGCTAGAGTGCATGGTGGAGCTGTGCCTCCTGGGGACTGGAGTACCCCCAAGAACCTGTGAGCAGAGCTGCCTTATCAGTGTGAAGCCTGTAGAGCACACATGAGAAGAGACCTCAGAAGATAGAGCCTGGGCTACCCCAAACTCCAATTGAAGCAGCCTTGATATAACTCCAAAGACTGAGAAGTTCATTTGTTTCATAGCAATAATGGAACCTTGATATGGGGACATAGCTGAGTAGGGAGCAGGGAACATAGAAAGACAGACTGTGAAGGAGGCACTGTGTTAGGGGAAGATCACACGGGAAGGGTATTGAGGGCCATGTTATAGTGTGTGCTGAGGATGAATGTAGCACATATGCTAACTGTTCTTAATAAAAACCTGGAGTCAGATATAGGGGTGAAAGCTGAAAGATCAGAGAAGCAGAGCAGTCAACCACTAGAGTTCTTACCTCTCCCAATGCTCAGACCAAAAGAGCGCTCTTGTCCTCATACTGCCTCCTCACACTGCCTCCTCAGACTGCCTAGACTGCCCTGAGTTCCTGTCTCCTCCCACCTTATATTCCTCTCTCTGCCCAGCCTTAGCACTTCTGTCTCCACCTCCCTAGTGCTGGGATTAAAGGAGTGTGATCCCAAGTACTGGGATCACCTTTATGTGAGCTCTGTTTCTCTTTTAGACTGGATCAATTTCATGTGGCCCAGGATGGCCTTAAACTAACAGACATCCATCTGCTTCTGTCTCCTGAGTGCTGGGATTAAAGGTGTGAGTCACCATTGCCTGACCTCTAGTGGCTTAGTTCTGCACTCTTCAGGCAAGCTTTATTTGTTAAAACACAAACAAAATATCACTACAATGACAACCCATACTTTTGGGCTCCTCTGCCTCTAACTCCAAATGCTTTCCTCTCAGAACAACCTTGAGGAAATGGGTGGTCTGATTTCCTCAGGACTAATATATTCTAGATGGTGGTAGTCCAGTTGCTAGCAGCCTTGATAATCTCAAAGGCTAAGGTGGTACTTAGCTCCTTGCTCTACAAACCATTTCTGGCAGCGAACAGGACTCCAGGCAGCCTCTCATTATTGAGATCATTAAGATACATAGGAGAGGGGCAATGAGAGGGCTCAGCAGTCTAGCCTAGAGACCTGAGTTTGATCCTTGTAACCTAGAGAAAGCTAGACAGCGAGAACCAATTCCCGCCATTATCCTCTGACCTCCAAATGTGCTGTGGCACTCACCTTAGCCTCCCCCAGCACCACATACACACATACATCATACATATACATAATTTTAATGAGAAAATAGCGATTGCTCTCAGGTTCTATGTTCCTAACTTCTCTTGCTGTGGTCTAACACCTGACATGAGCAGTGTGCTGAGGAAGGTTTACTCTGGTTCACAGTGTGTGGGGACAGAGTTCACCCCAGGGAAGATCAGGCTGCTGGACACATCACCTCCAGCGTTAGGAGAATAAAGATGTGGATAATGGTGCTCTCTATTTCCTTCTTGTTATTAGTCAGAGACTCAGCCCACATGTATCATGCTTCTTTGAGAGACAACTATCAGTCTGTGATATTTCTTTTAAGGTTTTTATCTTTTATCCACCTGCTTCAAAGGTTAATATATTTAGTGGTAGTTTACGTTTTTAAAGAATTATTTTTATTTTATGAGTATGCATATCTGCATACAGTGTGTGCACCACATGTATGCAGTGCCTGCAGATATAAAAAGATTTTGGAGATTCTAAGTGCCAGAAGACCAGGGAGTTTGCTGTGATATTGTCTCTCCTAGAAATGTCAAAAACTACACCACCCATAAAGTCTCACCAACATGACCGGCTAAAAATGAGCTGAACAAGGACAGCAACAGAATTGACAGACATGTCAAAGTGGATACGGGAAAGTCAAAGAGGATTCAATACTACACAAACAACTGCAAGTAGCCAAGAAACGCTGATTGGAGAAAGCAGTCTTCCCCAGGAAAAGGACACTAATTGCTTATCCAGCACCAAATCTAGTCTTGAAAACAAGTTCACATTTTACAGACAGGGCAGGTTGTACTTGTGTATTTCAAAATATGTATGTATACAACAATTAGCAAAAAAGAGACCATGAATTTGAAAGAAAGCAAGGAGCGATAAATGTGAGGGGTTAGATGGAGGAAAGGGAGAGGGAAATGATGTAATTATAATATAAGAAATAAAAGAAATATGATTTTAAGCCTGGAATCCTACTTTAATGAATTCATTAAGAAGTCGGCTGAAATCAAAAGTTCCTCAAGAAACTTTTTTCTAAATGGTTCACCTGAAAAATGCACCCAAAAGATGTGAAGATGGATGAATGGACAGATTGGCAGATGGATAGGGAGATAATTAACTCTAAAGATGGCAAACAGGGAGAAACAGGGTACTAGGGAAATTCCCAGGAATCCGCAAGGATAACCCCAGCTAAGACTCCTAGCAATAGTGGAGAGGGTGCCTGACCTGGCCTTCTGTAATCAGATTAGTGATTATAATCTGTGACTACCCTAATTGTCATCATAGAACCTACATCCAGTAACTGATGGAAGCAGATGCAGTGATCTATACAGCCAAGCACTGGGCTGAGCTCCTGGAGTTTAGTTGAAGACAGGGGGGAGGGATCAATCATATGAACAAGAGGGATTAAGATCATGATGGGGAAAACCACAGAGACAGCTGATCCAAGCTAGTGGGAGCACAAGGACTCTGGACTGACAGTTGGGAAACCTGCATAGGACCAAACTAGGACCTCTGAATGCGTGTGACAGTTATGTGGGTTGATCTGCTGGGGGGCGCTGGCAATAGGACCAGGACTTATCCTGGGTTCCTGAACTAGCTTTTTGGAGCCCATTCCCTACAGTAGGATACCTTGCCTCAACCTTGATACAGAGGGGAGGGGCTTGGTCCTGCCTCAACTTAGTACGCCAGACTTAGCTGACTCCACAAGAGAGGCCTTACCCACTCTGAGGAACAGATGCAGGGAGGGGTTGGATGGCGGAGAATGGAGTTGGTATGTAAAATGAAAAAAATGTTTTTTTTAAAAAAGATTGGCACACAGTAAAGGCAGGAAATGGAGAATGAAGAAAAACAACACACAGTTCCAGTCCAAAAGTGGTTAGACTCACAACCTAGTGCTATCATTTCTGGTGAGACAGAAAAGGGCCACACTCCAGCTCAAGCAGCAAGCCTGTGTATCCTACTCAGGCCTCCATCTGACTGGACAAAGTTTACTGCACCAGCTAGGGCCCTCTGTTTTACTCAAGTCTACCAATTTCAAAGTTAATCTCATCTCAAAACATCTTTGCAAGTATGTGAGAATGTCTAACTAAATGTGTAGATACAGTGGCCTAGCCAAGTTGATTGGAAGCAAGCCTTCAACCCAGCATGAAAATCAGCCTGGCTATTCATTCTGCAAAGAGACTTTCCCCCTACCACACTCAAAGGTCAAAGAAACATATTATCCTAAAGATCAGAGTTGGAGGAGTATAGTGAGTATTTTGTTTATAATCTAACAAATAAAGTTTGTCTGAAGATCAGAGTACAGAACTAAGCCACTAGTTAGTCAGAGGCCAGGCAGTAGTGGCACACACCTTTAATCCCAGCACTCAAGAGAGGGAGAAGGATCTCTGTGAATTCAAGGCCACCCTGGGCTACACAAGATTCAATCTGTATAAAAGAGAAACAGAGCTCACACAAAGGTGATCCCAGCACTTGGGATCGCACGCCTTTAATCCCAGATCTAGGGAGGTGGAGACAGGAGTGAAACGGATGGGTGGAGAGGAGAAAATAAGGCGGGAGGAGACAGGAGCTTAGATGCAGTCTGAGGATTAATAGAGACAGATGCAGCATGAGGTTTTGTAGAGACAGCAGAAGTCTGAGGATTCATAGACAGGATAGCCCCTTTGGTCTGAGCATTGGTAGAGGTAAGAACTCTCTAGTGGTTGGTTGCTGTTTCTCTGATCTATCAGCTTTGACCCCGATAGCTGACTTCAGGCTTTTATTATTAAGGCCTATATAAATTCACACTACAGAGGAACATGTCTAGTAAGGACCTTTGGAGTTTTCTATTAGGCTATTACCTAGAAGTGAACTTAGGCTTTATTTCCTGTCGTCCAATCCCTGAGCCATAAAATCTGAATTTCAAGTTTGAGTAAGAAGTTCAGTTATACTGACACACCTCTAATCCCAGCACACAGTAAGCTGAGACAGGAGGATCATAATTTAGAAGCTAAACTAGACTACAAAACAAGTAGTTTTCAGTTAATATAGTTAATGTCCTCCTTGAGTTTTGTTCTTTAGGTACAGTTTACTATTCTAGCTAAAAGCATTTTTAACAATATTTTTCTCTCTCAGCTCTTGGTTCAATGAAGAAAGCTGGTTGGTGGTCTGTTCCCTCCTATTCCTGGCTCCTAACATGAGTTGGACTACAACATGGAACCCTGTTGCCCTGCAGAAGGTTCTCATCTGAGATGATGGTGGCTTGGGACAAGGAGGACACTTCCTGCTATTCTAATCCCAGGTACAATTTAAAAGCACAGTCTCAGGACTTCCAAACAGACTAGATCTTGATGTGACAGACTAAAAAGAAATCAAGAGTTGCTGGGAGGGCTTAAACAGCTGGATAAGTTGAGAAGGAGAGCTGAAATTCATTGAGACTGGACAGACTGTGGACAGGGTTTGTATGGAAAAGGTTGGAATTTGGTATAAACATTGGACGTGAATGTCCATTTGATGTGCATGTGGACTCATCAAACAGAGCAGGCTCTGAGACTGGCTCTCTAGAGGAAGGTCTGAGGTCAAGTTTGTAAAGTCTGTAAAGCATGCCAGGTTTCAGGTCACTCAGAGAAGTGGATGTGAGATGGGGTGTGAATGCTGTGTGCCCATTCAGCACTGGATCTTCAGGCAGGGAAGGCAGCACCACAGCTGCCAGGGGGATTCTGACACTAGTCTGCATTAGCAGTTACATAACTTGTGGTCACCACCCAAATACACACTGTCCTCATCAGCTATTTGTTAGAGTTCTGTGCCAGTTCTGTGGTTTAAGAGGAATGTGAAGAATTTGAACCCAGCCTGGGAAAGAGGCAGCCACGTAGATGAACAAATGAAAGAAAAATGAAATCCAGCAAAGGTTAGAGGGAATGAGATGAGCTTCCCAGAGATAAGCACAGCAGCAACTAATCTCTGAAGCAGAGGGTCTGAAAACTCAGAAGTAACTTGCTTAGGTTAAGCAAAGGAAAAGGACACAAATTTCCATGGGATACTTAGATCAGAAATAAAAGGGAGAGCCGACACCTGCTGGATTATGGTAAGACCCTGAGGTGAACGCCCACTGTACAGATCAGACAAGTGAAGTTCTAACTAATTAGATCAGTTTACCAGCATGAAAGTTTCAATTCACATCTGTGTAATGAGTCTAAAGCTATTCTCTTTAAACACATCAAGCTCTGTGATGGGGTTATATGATAACACAGAAATTGATTTCTGAGAGTTAGCAATCTCTTTGCTTCAGACCTTTGAAAAATTATTGATCCTGAGCAAAATCAAGTACATTTTCACAAATTCAATCTACTTAATGGTATAAGATTATAGACAGCCAGTCTTCAAATTCTTTCCTGGTCAGAAGTGATAGGGTCAGGTCCTGAGAGCAACAGTGCAGTCACCAAGCACAAGCAGCACAGTTTCTCAGGAAGCCAGTGTGCTCCTGTTTCCTACTTCACAATAAAATACACTCAACTTTCTAAACTGCAGGGCAGGGCTGGGGAAGGAACTCAGTAGCAGACATGCTAAGCACCGCCTGCAGTTCCAGGTTGCAGTACTGACAACAACAAAAGCACACTTAAACACACATTAAATTAACATTTAAAGTTAAAACATTTAAAATTAAAGTGACATAAAATAGAAAATACACAACTCAGTGGTTAAGCATCTGGGATTTGAGTCCATCATGTTTTGTTTGACTTTACAAGGAATGCAGTTAAAGGCATCAAGTGAGATGACTTGCAATGGATATCAGGGTTTGGATGTGCTTGCTGTGTTCAAAGAACAAGGAACTGTCTTCAAGATCAAGAAAGTCAAACAGCCCCAGTAGCACAGTGGGTAAGAAACCTTAGGAACCACTCCATTGTGTCAAGGCAGGTAGTCTACGGGCATAAAGAACACCCAGGAGAGAAGCATAAACTCAGCTGAGATTCTCACACGCCCCATAGACACTTCTGGACCAGCACAGTTATGGCATCAGAGAATACTCAGTCTCAGATCTTCCGTCATAAACAAGCAAACAACTCACAAAGGCTGCTGGAGGGTCACTGATGCAAGCAGAGCCAGGCATACTGTTTGAGAGCAAAAGTTTCTGCAAAACCAAGCAATGCCAGTTCCAATGGCTGCTAAAGTAGACCATCTCCAGAATGGAGGTTTACAGCCCTGCCAGTGACTGCAGAGCAGCTAGGGTAAGGTCATGGAGCAGGCAGTCACGGTTCAAACCCAACTCCACTGCCACACAGCTGCTAACCTCCAGCAAGCCACTTGGCCTCCTCGTCTGAGAAGCAGGCAATAATGCCTTGCCTTACAGGAGGCAAAACAGATCAGAGTATATATGTGGTCCATGTGGAGTGGCAGCAGCTCTGGCTTAGTTGGGACTTCCTCTTCAATTATCTTCTCCCTAATCATCTCCCCTAGTCCTACAGGCTAGTACTGTGGATCTCACACAGACACTAAGTTCAGGAATTACCTAGTTCCGTGATGCATTCTCAAGAGACAAAAGCTGTTTAGTTGAGTATCCAGGCTTGGGGCACATGGGATCTAAAGCCTACTTAACCAGCCTTTAAACTATAGAACCCTAGGGTTTCACCCTACTTGTAGGTTTACAAGATATATGTACATTTTGAAGGATCTTGACAATGCACTGCTGTCTAAGACAGAACTTCTTAGTCATAGCTACAGCCAGAATCTCCATGTTTGTGCTGGCTCAAGATCCAATGAATGTGACAGACTTTGCACATGACACAGACTGCATTTTAGCAAAGGGACCCCAGGCTTAGAGAATCCACATCTCTTCACATGAATAGTAGTGTGCCTGATCTGTCCCCTAGAGTTATATATCGTCACGACAAAGGTGATAAACACATTCTGCTCTGGTAGGAGAGAATACCTCTACACTCACTGCAAGGATGTCCACTCTACATACATCCCTCAGATGTTCCTAGGACATACAGACACAGGAGAATTACCTATACACCTGGGCTCCTGGCTTAGAAGATTCAATATTGCTAATATGTCAATACTCCCCTAAATAAACTACTGATTCAACAGACACCCAATAAAATTTCTAAAAAGGTTTCTTGTTTGTACTAAGTGACACATTTATTCTCAAATTCATGGCAAAAGTCTTAGAAACAGCCAAAACAACTTGGGAAAAAACATAGTTAGAGAATTTATGCTTCTCCTCTTTCTCTTCTTTTTTTGAGACAGGGTTTCCTTGTGTAACAGTCCTAGCTGTCCTGGAATAGTTCTGTAGACCAGGCTGTCCTCAAACTCATAGTTCCTCCTGCCTCTGCATCCCAAGTGCTGGGATTAAAGGAATGCACCACTACCACCTGGCTATTCTTCTTTTAAAAAATTTTAATGATTTATTTATTTTTATTTTATATGCATTGGTGTTTTGCTTTCCTGCCTGTTTGAGAGTATCAGTTATCCAGGAACTGGAACTACAGACAGTTACGAGCTAGTTGTGAGTGCTGGGAAGTGAATCTGGGTCCTCTGGAAGAGCAGTCAGTGCTCTGAACCATTGAGCCATGTCTCCAGCCCCTTGAGGATTTATGCTTCTTAAGATTACAACACCATCACGATTGATTCGGAATACATGGAAACATGTTCAACACCTAGTATCAATCTTGAGACAAATGGCTGAGGTGCCTATTTAACACATCAAAGTGGACCGAGGCCACCAGGTTTTCCTATCATCCCTTAGTCCCTATCTATTACAGGGTCCTGGCTGATATGCCCTGGACACTACCCTAATCTTCAGTCTAAGAACTAGGATGGGTTACCCTTCCCCCAGTGGCTCTTCCCCATTTTGGCTATGCCAGTTCTTTTTTTTTCCCCACTCATTTGCCCTTTGGTCTCCTGGTCTCCTAGCTCTCCCTTCCCACCTCTCCTCATATGACCCAGCTGAGGATCATGTGCATTATTGGCTATCCCTTTGGAGATGCTCTTCCTCATATCTACAACAAACCTTCACCTCTACCATGCCCAGGAGCAGTCATGTCCTCCTTTTTAATCTCTTACTTTGATGCAAACACTATTAGTAATAATGCAACAATGTGGTACCAAGACATCTCTATAGGAATATCTAAACCTAAATGGTACAAGTGGACCAAGAACCGTGAGGACAAGCAGTTGGTACTGTATCCTCTGGTGGGAATGTGAATGGCAGAGCAGTTAACAGTTTAAAAAAGTGAATATACTTCTTCCATATGACCCAGTCATTCTGTGCCTAGGATCTACCCAAAAGAAATACCAGCACATCTCCATGCATATGAAAGACTCTGTATCTGTAATATGTCAAAGCTGTATAAACAATCCAAAAGGTTCATCTGCATAACTGACCAATGTGTAACAGGAATCAGTGAACTAGTAGATATAATAATCACTGTAGAAAATAGAAACTAAACTACAATGTAGAAAAGAGGTGAGTGGCCTTCTGAAAAGTGAGAGGCAGGTGGGAAGGGGAAATGGCCTTGTGGGATGATGCTTTCATTACCTTGACACTATGTTAATGATTTTAAAGGTAGATATTTGGACTCAAATGATCAATTTTTTTCATTTAAGATATATGCAACTATTGGACCTCAATAAAACTATTAGAAAAAAGTATTCATATCAAGCATAACAAAAGTTCAAAACAGATTAATTTGAATTTTAAAAAACGAAAATTTCATTTTTGTCACTTGAATATTTGAATGACATGTATACATTTTAAGCTTTACAATTATGGTGAAATTGGGACAAAACTTTAGGCTAAATTAGTGGTGAAGGTAAGCAAGAAAGGAAGCAGTAAGGTAAGATTCATTTTATTTACAATTGAAGACACATCCATATGCAACTTCATGGGTCTCCTATTTCATTCTGCCTAGACGTCTGGATTTTTTCTTCCATGTCCACCACATATCTACTATTCTGAAGGAGAATATTTATGCTGTTTTATAAAATGATTTGTGGCAAAGGTCACAACTAAAACTAAAATCTATAGTTGAGAAATATAACTAGGAACTACTAGTATATCAGTTGGTTTCTAGAGTAGAAAGTTATTTGGGGAGGAGCAGGGTTTTGAGAACCCAGTGTCTGAGGGTACCAAGGTTTGAAAATTGACACCACAAAAGAATATTCTTTCTCTTCCATCCCCAGAAGTCACTCCAACAAAAAAGAAGTCATTTTTAAAGAGTAAACATTGTATGAAAATGGTTCCTGATTTCTAATACACCAATACCTCCTCCAGCTGGGTTAGCATATGACTGACTATACAAGAACATAGTAGAACACTGCTTACCATTCAAAAGCCACTGCAGCAAAGAGATAAATCCAGGACTCTCACTGATGTATTTCAAGCCTTTTGAATTGATACTCACATTGTACAGGGACATCAGCATTAGACTGAAATGCAAAAGAATACAGTGCTGACTTTATGTGTTATCCACATTGTATTTCATCTTGAATCATTCCCTAAAGGATCTAAACGTATTTATATCTCACATGTCCAACTATAACATATGGGTAAAACAATTACAAAGCATAAACCATGTTTAATGATTTTAATCTGCAGAAGGCTATTACATAAGAGGAAGTTTTAGCAATAACATTGTGACATTACATTCTGTGTATAAAACCACAGGCAGAAAATCTTACAGGAAACCCAACAATCCTGCTTACCAATGTCTTTGCCCTTGTAGTACCAAGTCTATATTTATATCTAGCCTACTCTCAGTTTATAAGTGTACTACTGTGTTCTTAAGGTTTAATGAAGTCATCTAAACTCTAGTTATAGCTCTTATCCAAAGAATGTATGGTGGTCTGAATGGGAATGGTTCATAGGCTCATATGTTTGAATACCTGGTCCCCAGTTAACAGAACTATCTGGGAAGGATTGGGAGGGATGGCCTTGTTGTGTCACTGGGAGCAGATCTTGAGGTTTCAAGACTTGCGCCATTCCCAGTGTGCTCTCTAATTCCTATTTGTGGGGTGAGAAGTGAACTCTCAGTTGGGGCTCCATTGCCATGCCTGCCTACCTGCTGTCATGCTCCCCACCTTGACTCTGATGGACTCTTACCCCTCCTGGACCATAAGATCCAAATTCCTCTTATTAGTTACCTTGCTCACGGGTCTTTGTCACAGCAAGAGAAAACTAACTAAGACAGAGTTGGTACCAGGGAGTGGACTATGTGCACCGACAGATCTGACCATCTGGGTTCGGAGGATATGGAAGGCTTTGAAACTTTGGGCTAGAAAAATGGTTAAACATCATTAGCAGAACTGAATGAGTCATTCTAATAGGAGCTTGGAAGACAGTGCTGAGTACAACAAGGACTATGGAGGCCAAGTTCAAGATGTTTCATAGAGGAACAATATTAGCAACTAGGTTAGAGAATGATCTTATGATATTTTGGGCAACAGTGTGGCTGCTTTCTGCTCTCATCCTAAGAACTTGGCTGAGGCTAAACTGAAAATGGACTAATTTCTTTTCTTTTATTTTTTTGTTTGTTTTCCGAGACAGGGTTTCTCTGTAGTTTTGGAGCCTGTCCTGGAACTAGCTCTTGTAGACCAGGCTGGCCTCGAACTCACAAATCCGCCTGTCTCTGCCTCCTGAGTACTGGGATTAAAGGCATGTGCCACCACCGCTCGGCTAATTTCTTTAGTAGAGGGGATTTCAAGGCAACCTATTATCAACTCTGTCCCAAATTTATTATATACTCACTTTTATGCAGCTCTACAATGGGAAAGAACAAGCAAGGCAAAAAGAAATACAAATGCACAGTTTGAAGAGAAAAAGAGCAACTAGGAAATTTAATGTTGGAGCCAATGCTTGTGCTGAAAGAGATAAGAAGAATTGGAATCATGCTGGAATAAAGGGAAGGGTATCTTCAGGGCTTCACTCCACTCAGATAAACTTCCAACTTGTGAAAGAAAAAGGCCTAGGAAATTTTCTGCTCCTAGAAAGTAATAGCAAATCAAGGCCACTGCAAAAGTGATCCTAGAGGGACAAAGCTCACCCCAAATTGGTAGTCAAACATGGTAGTGTCATCCATGTGGTACTAGCTTTCATGTCACAAAGGATCCCAGTAAAAGGATCATGGAATTTCCTCTGTGGTTACAGAGAGCTGTTGAGGTCAGGTATGTAACAGCAGACGCCCTGCATGGAGGCTCTAAGAGGCCATTATGTGAAACTATGAAAAGTAAATCCTGGACTGAACTGGAAGTCCCAAAATACTGAAAATGACAGAGCCATGAAACATCTGTCAAGAAGAGCTTCAGACAGGGAATGGGGCCAGCCCAAGAGCAAGAAATGTGTTACAGGCAGCAAAGCAGGAAGGAAGAGCCGTCTAAGCTCTTTTGACATCAGACTGAAGCTACAGTATTTGGAGTTGTACTCCTGGGTTTCAGCCTTCCTTTGGTCCAGCATTTCCTGACTATGATCTTGACACACAGATATTGGGGTTCAACCTGAAGACAAGAAAAGCAAAGCAGCCAGCCATAGGCTCTTACCTCAACTTCAGTCCATAAATGGTGATTCTGCTCCAGGAAAGCTCAGAATGAGACTGAGAGCTGTCTTCTCCTGTTTTATAATCCTCTTTAGTTCTGGGGTTAAGGACGTGTACCACTACAGCCTGGTGTCTATGGCAAGTTAGTGTGGCTACTGGAATTAACAGTGTGTGTCATCACTGTCTGATCTGTAAGGCTGGCCAGTGTCGCTGTTTTATTTTTCTGATCTTTAGGCAAGCTTAATTCATTAAAATACAAATGAAATACCACTACACGCCTCTATTCCTCCATTCTGGAATGGCAATATATATTCTATGCCATTGCATGTTATTATAAGTGTATAATTTGCTTTTTGATTTTTACAATGGGTTACAGTTAAGACATTGCCTTGAATCTCAGAAGAGATTTTTAACTTGTACTAAGACATTAAGGGACTTCTAAAGTTGGACTAAATGCATTTTACATTACAATATGGCCTTGGGCCTATGAGAGCCAGACAGTGGAATATATTTATTTGAATAAGAATGTCTCATAGGCTAGCATGTTTACTTGGACCCCAGTACTGGATGAAACTGTTTGGGAAGGATTAGAAAGTGTGACCTTACTGAAGGAGGTGTGTCACTGGTGGTGGGTGTTAAGGTTTCAAATTACTCCATACCGTTCCCAGTGTGTTGTTTCCCATTTGTGGGTTAAGATGTGAGCTCTCAGATTAGGCTCCAACATCATGCTTGCTTGCTTGTTTCCATACTCCCTGAAGTGATAAACTCTTAACCCTCTAGAACCATAAGCCCAAATAGACCCCTCGTTTTATAAGTTGTTTGGTCATGGTGTTTTATTACCACAATAGGAAAGAAACTACAACAGTATGTAGCATGCAACATCAGCCAGGCCAGGACAGGCAGCTTAACCCACCTTATCACAACCCCATCATCTGAACCAATCAGGCAGTGACCCCAGTAAAACAGGATTTTACACACTGTTCTGAACAACTGCCAATTCAAGTGTCCAATAGAAGCTAGAAACGATAGCCCTTTAGTTTCTGGAGGTGCTGTTATATAATATGGAAATTCCTAGATCCTTCATACTTCTAAGAAATAAAACAGACTAGACCAGGTTTGAGAAATGGCTTCCTGTTTAAAAGTATTTGCCACACAAGCATCAAGAACTGGGTTCAAATCCCCAAAACCTGCATAAAAGTAAATATAGTGGAGCACATTTACAATCTCAGTGCTCCTACAACACAATGGGAAGTGAAGACAAGAGACTCCCTGGAGGCTCACAGGCCAGCTAACCTGGAAATCACAGCAGCAAACCAGAGACCCTGTCTAAAAAAGATAGAAGCTGAAGTCTGACACCTGAAGTTATCCATGGCCTCTACATGTGTGTCATGGCATGTACATGCTCACAATCGCATACATACATGTGCTCTGTGACATGTCATGTGAATACATGACAGGCCTGTACTCCACAGAAACCATATACAACACACAAAAAGAAGAAAGGCAAGAGAACAGCTGTGGGTGTAATTCAGTGGCGGAGCTCTACTTATCATGCCAACGCCTTAGGTCTCATCCCAGCACTGGGGGGAAGGGCTAGACAAATTGTATGTATAACATTTGACACAGGCACTAGCATCCATATGAACTTGAAAGCTGCTGTGCCTCTCCTATTTCCTTTTGCCCAAATTTTTTAATGACAAGACTTCATTTTAAAATTGCCAGTGAGCTTGCAAGAAATGAAAGGAGCAACTCTTTGATCAAGTCCAAAGTGGGAGGTGAGTACAGATCATGACAGGTTCCAGAAGCTGAGAGCTTCCATTACAGTGCCTTCCTTCATGTAGACAGACTGAAAGAAAAGCCCCAGGCAGTCACAGAGCCTGCTGAGAACCAGAAAAGAACAAACTTTCAAGCCTGGCATGAACTCATGCTGTCAGCAAGCCTGAAACATTTACAAGTCAATAACTTAATGTACAGTAGGCCCAGAATGGGAGATTCCTCAGTTTTCTACCAGGTCTTCCAAGAAGCACAAAAACACTCCTAACAAATGTGGGTTCGTATCACAGATCACTGCATGAAAAATATCAAGACTGCACCAATAATAGTCAGCATAAGAACAGTGGCAGAGCCAGAACCAAATAATTTTCAGGCATTATAGGTATCAACCACAGAATAGACGACACATATGCTAAATAAAATACTTTGTTGCTATTTTGGGGGTTTGCTGGGTTTTGTTTATTAAAACAGGTTCTCACTATATCCTGAGTGGCTTGGAACTAGAAACTCAGATCAGGATGGCCTTGAATTCACAGGGACCAGCCTGCTTCTGTATCCTAAGTGCTAAGATTAAAAGCATGCGCCTCTATGCCCAGCAGTAAAAAGTAAGAGAAACTAAATCATGACCAAGAAGCTAGGGTTACTGTTATAAAACACCAGGCAAAATAAACAAACAAACAAAAAACAGAACCTAGGTTGGGGAGCTGACTCAGTCTGTAAAGAGCTTGCTGTGCGTGCATGTACGAGGACCTGAGTTCAATGTTAAGTCTGTGAAGAGCTTGCTATGCATGTATGAGGACCGGAGTTCAATGTGAAGCACCCACATAGCAATAAAGAACAATTGAGGAAGACATTCAACAGCAACTTCTGGTCTCCACACATTCATGAATACACATATACACAAACAGGGACATACACGTGTACATGCAAAACTTTTTAACAAAATTTATAAAAATGAAAACTATGAAGGTTGGAGAGAGTTCAGCAGTTAAGAACACTGGCTGCTCTTGCAGAGGACCTAGTTCAGTTCCCAGCACTCATGCAGAATGGTTCACCATTACATACGGCTCCAAGAGATCCAATACATTTTCTGAACTCCACAGACACCTGTACTCACGTGCACAT